GGATTTTCTTTTCCTCAGAGCCCAGCCTTTTTATGGTACATTGTGATTACCTGAGTGTCTTTGTTTCCTTGTGGTCAGAGACAGCTAGCCAACACAATACTAGGACTGTATGATCTATTGGCATCATTTCCTCCCACCCTCTTCATTTTTAGAGGCTTTGTAATTAAACTCTGTGAGATATATGTAACATATATCCAGTGGAGAGCCCTTTTATTTATATTTATATAGCATGCTGAGAAAGGAAAATTAAGGAAGTGCTTATATTGAAGTAATAAGCCTACTTTGATATTAACAGAATTGTCCTCTTAATTTACTTCTCTCAAGTCTAAAGGACTATCTCTCTGAGACCAGACCCCACAGTCAAGCCTCTTTAAAGAGAGATCCCAATAAAGTGAAAAAGACATTTATTAGCTTGTACTAACTTAGAGGAACAAAAGGCCAGGCTTACCACTCACTGGAAATGTACACTATAGTAAAGTGCAGTATGACGCAGGATGCTGAGCAGAAAGATGTGACTGGAAATAGCTGCAGGGCCCTACATTTTTCTGCCTCCCTGCCTCTAACCCACCATAATGCATAAATTTACACATAGTGTAACAGGGCTTTCCAGAGCTAAGATAAAGATACAAATTGGCAGGAATTTTAATATAATTGAAAACCACAGACTAAAAGAAAGAGGCACTGACTTTCTTCTCTAAGAGGTTATTGCAACAAGAATTATGACAAAGATTTAGAGAAAATTTCCTGGTTTTAAAGAGCCTTTTTCATTTACAGATTACATATACACATATACACAAAACAGAGCAAGATTATATATGTTTCTATTTATTTACCTCTTTAGAGGATTCCATGGAAAATAATTGTGGAGAATTCTTTTGTTTTCATACAAGTTGTTCCAACATGGGTTTGAAAGTACCATTTCCTTGACAGGAATCTGGTACCTGACATTGCACTGTTGCCCTGTTTATGTCAGTGTTTTCAGCTACAGAATGAAAGCAATTTTGGTAAAGAGGAACAATGGCATGATAGCTGAAATTTTAGTCATGCACACTCCAGCCTCTTCAACTGAACTTTAGAAAATGATTCTTCTCCTTGTAACCTTGTAGCTAGATGTTATGAGAGGCCCATAGGTATATAAAACAGCTTATATAAAATTAATGGACTGCTTTACATTCACAATCTCTTACTTGTGAAGCCCTTGTAAAATATTGCATCTATTTAAAATAGGAAGAATATAAAGTTAGGTTTGGTGTGCAATCGATAGTTGTAAATGGTTCAGTGAAATATTTGATTGTTTTGAGTGAGTTTGACAATGTAATGGAAATTTATTGTCTGTCTTAGTGCAGTGATATGAACACTGATATGCTAATCATGAATTGTCCCTTCTTTTATGTACTTGACCTGTTTTGAAACTGATTGTAAGAGTCCAAGGTAACATCTAAGTACATAATCAAAATTTTAGGAATGATACATTTTCTTAACTTACTAGATACAAAGAAATCTATGGGTCACAAAGAAGTCACGGCTAAGAAAGAGAAAAGCCCCTCTAACATTGCTTTATTATTTTGCTTAAAATGATCAATAATATATTAGTTATAACAATATATTAGTTACATATTGTTGATATTCTATATGCATTTTTGAATAAGTAAATGAAAAGAGGTTTTGATTTCAGCATCAAACGTAATAAAAATGAGACTTTTTGAAGGTAGTTAAATCGTTAAAAACAAATCTCTTCCTGTTTTCCATAGGCACAATTTGAGGTCCTTATTTTGTTCTTCCTCTGAACAAAAATTAAAACTACATTTTCTCATTTATTCTGTTACATAGTTTATGGATCTCTAAAAAATGCCATAGATTCCACTATGATTTCCTTTTTTCCTTACTGTGTAAGGAAAAAATATTGGGGGAATGCAGCTTTTTTTTTTTTTTTCTCTTGCCTCCTTGGACTGAGAATTATACACGGTTAAAAATCATGGTGACAGTTTAAAAGGCTGTTCCCCTCCCCATTTCATTCCAATGATAACTAGAATAGTAATATTCTTTTTTTTTCCTTATAAGAATGACCACTGCACTATCCTGTTAACATCTCCTCTAAATCAGAAACAGCGCCCTGACTTATCAACTGGCTACATGCACTGCTGATGCTGCCTAATACTTGATGGAAAACTCTTAAAAACATGAGCTGGGCTATATGAGACCTGTTATATTTTCTGTTTGATAAATTTTAAGTGAAAATTCCATAATTAATCCTAAGTTTAATTCTAAAATCTGTTTGCAGAATGATGAGTTGTGATTTGTTGTTGGAGCAGCTGTGCTGTTAGTAGTAGAGTTGCCTAACTAATCTCTGAAATTGAAGATATAAAAAACACCTTTACTCACATATTTTTTTCCAGTTATTTGTGAATAGTTTCTTTCACCAGGGCACCATCATTTACTGTGTTATAGAATTAAATGCAGAGAAAGATGCAAGACACTGCATATGAAAGGAAGTTATTCATGCATGGTCAGTGTAGTATTTCTCTGGTCTTGATGTGGAACTTAATTGCTATTGACGTGGAGATTTTGCAGAACATGGCAGAGTTTTTGCCTCTTTCAAAGAAATATATGATTGAATGATGAGTGCCTGGTGTTAGCTTTTCAACCTTATTTCTTTTGGTTTAACAACGCAGAATTGTGAACAGCTGCAGTGAAGAGGCAGCTACAATATCTAGCTATTATCAAATAAATGCAGATCTGGCATATGAGCTGAGCTACCACTTTTGGATCTGCACCTCTTGAATAAGCATTCTGAAGTGTGGAAGCATGAAAAGTGAATGATTTGGCCTGAGACGTTTAATCCTGCCTTGCATTCTTGACTGAAATTCTTCACAATTAGGGTGACTCACATTAATATGTGGCCAGATGTATTTGCACAGATTGATGGATTCCCCCCAACACTTGATGTTCCTTAAACAAGTGGTTAAAAGAGTGAGAGGCTTTAAAGGCAAATCAATGTGCCTCCAGGTGGCTGATATTTTCCCAAAGACCAGCATCAAACTTCCAGCCAGGTGGATAATATCATGGCACCCAACCACGTGTCAACTCTGAATTCACTTGGCTCCACTGAGGACCTGGCCATAAGGGAGAGAAAACAGGCCCCTTCAGTCATCCTAGGACCTCTTTCTCTCTCTCAGATCCCTCACTGCAATTCTTAAGGGAAGCAGCATTGTGAAAGCCTGGCTAGGAGAAAAGAGAGGGTAATGGTAAAGTATAACCTTAATTCTGTGACTTTGGGCAAACTTAACTTCTGAAATCCTCAATTTCCTTACTTGAAAAATGGGGCTGACAATACGCCATAGAGTTACTATTGAGGATTCACTGACTTAATGTATTATAAAGAGCTTAGAAAGGTGACTGGTACAATGCAATGATGAACTAACAAAGAAAAAAATTCTTGCTAACATTTTAGAGAGAAGAGTTTCCGGACCAGGTTCCCATGTGCATCCAGTACTGTCCCTATGAACATGACACAGAAGGGTTGATTCTATCCTAGGGCCATCCTATTTTTTGTTTACTTCTTTCAGCTAGTTGATAGCTATACAGTTGCTCAATGCTGCCCAGAAAGTCATATGTATTTAGTGTGGGTAGTTACCTTTGTGATTACAGCCAGAAGAAAATGGACATTTTGGCTGGGTGCGGTGACTCACGCCTGCAATCCTAGCACTTTGGGAGGCCGAGGCGGGTGGATTGCTTGAGCTCAGGAGTTTGAGACCAGCCTGGGCAACATGGTGAAACCCTGTCTCTACTAAAATACAAACAACTAGCTGGGCATGATGGTGCACACCTGCAGTCCCAGCTTTGGGAGGTTGAGGCAGGGGAATTGCTTGAACCTGGGAGGCGGAGGTTGCTGTGAGCTGAGATTATGCCACTGCACTCAAGCCTGGAAGACAAAGCAAGACTTAGTCTCCAAAAAAAAAAAAAAAAAAAGACATTTCTACAGCAACTAGCCAATGTTTATGGAAATGAAGAGACAAATCATCAATAGGCTCAATAAATAGATTGCCTAATTGAGATGAGAATCCTTGTGATGTTTTAATTCCGGGTGGCAAACACTATGGCCATTTATTAAGATCTGATTTTAAATATAAATTTGTGAGTAGTATTTGCTTTAGATTACTTTTAACACCTGAGATTCTTTTAAAATTTGCACACAGTGTAATCAAAACTCATAATAGCCTACTGGGTTTTAAAGTCCGGGGACTTTTCCCTATTGAAGTTCATTCTAGCTGAATACCTGAGTGTGACACATTAACTCCCCGGAAGCACTTGTCGAAACAGTTTGGTGGAATGAGAGCCACAGTAGCCCTCTCATGTGCTGCTAAGGATATCTTGTATAGGTTACCATATGCCCCCTTCCAAGGCATTGCTGTGGGTATCCGAAAAGAGTTCCTACACAAAAACACTATTTTGTTTTATATTTGACATTAAAATGGGGAAGGTGTAAAGACTACTACAAAGGATAAAATGTTCCACATTTCTGTTTATATTCTGAGTCAAGCACTGTGCCAGGACCTTAACATGGAGGTTTTTTTTTTCCCCATTTATTTATTTTAATGATCCTATGACAGGTACTATTAATATTAGGTCATATTAATATCTTTACTCTTAACATATTAGTATGCTCATGCTAGTGATATGGTTGATAATACCCCATTTTATAGATGAGGAAATTGAGGCATTGAGAGTGTGTTTGGTGTAAGGTGGCAAGATTCTATCTCAGGCAGTCTTATTCTTGAGCCAGGACTTTTAATCACTACCCCATGTTATGCTTGTGTTGGAGAGTCTCATTGTAAAAATATTTCAAAAGAAATAACTATGTTGCCTTCCATTTTAATTAAGAGTTCTTTTTTTCTCCCTCCTTTGGGCCAATCCTATTTGGGGAACTGGGGTGTGCATAAAATTGCTGTTGCTACTACTGTAGTTATGTAGTTTTATTAGATGCAGTTTTTATTCTTTAGGGACTTCCCATCAAATGGGGATACAAAGTTAAGAAATGCAAGCTTGATACTGATGATTGTGACTGCAGCTTCTGCTCGTGGCATGTGGGACACAAGCGTTGTAGGAAGTCTGCATCTATTGACCTGACCAATATGAAAAATGATCCCTGGGCCTCAGGGTAAGGTAAGAAGTGAGACTGGGACATAAAGTACAGCCCTCACAGTCATCTGTAGTAGATTTAAAAATGATGCATAACATCTGTATCTCTCCTAACAAATCACACTCATGTTTTTTGAATTATTTGCCATGTCTTGGCAGCAGGAGGTGGGGAGAGAAGACCAGAGTTCACTTCTAAGGGGGTAACCACATATACAGAGCATAAACTCTAACTTTCCTGTGGCATTTAATCTAATGAGTCCTGCCGTGTTGACAGCTTACTGGATTTAAAAGGGGATGCAAATTTACGCTCTTTTTGAAGTAAAATATTTGCACAATCATACAAACTAAGAAACTTCAAATCTGCTTAGTTTAATACTTACAGTCAAAAGGGTTTCCGACATCCAACTAATTTAGCACAGGTGTTGCACTGCATTCTGCATGTGTAATCTAAAGATAAAGTAGAAAACTTCCTTCACAATATTGTATAGAATTATTCAGTCTATGTTGGATCTAGGAATTCATCTATCTCTGAAAAATAAAAGTAGATCCAAGATACTTTTGCCCAAAGTGGAAATTCTCTGGTAAGAGATGAGGGAGGAGAGTGTGGCTTCATTTCAGTCTTGTACTACATTTGACCTTGGGAGAGCTTAGTTATGCCTTGGGGCAAAAAATTAAATGTTCCATTTTGCAGCAGTATCATCTTTCACCTTTATGTGGATTTAAAAATGTAAATAAAATTGCTTTCTGTAAATGGTATACATGAAGGTCATATTCATATTCTCTGCAAGAATTCAAAATGCCATTTGACCCATCATTGGCTCAATAGATAATAATGTGTTCTATTAGTTTCTAGTAATCTACTTTTTAAGCATTTTATGACCCAATATTTTAATGCCTAGTTCCTAGTTTGTGAAATAAGAAGTCAGAAATAAACCTTTTAGCACTTCATTGTAGATTTATTTATAGAATGTGTGCTTTCAACTTTGAACTTTAAAAAATGCCAAATCTTCCCAGAATATATTTCCTTAGTTATAAAAGTGGTCTGGATGAACATCTGCACTGCGGAAGAATATGCATTTAAAAGATTTTGAGGGCTCTAGCTTTTTTTCAACTATCAGCTGTGTTCCTTTTGCTTATTAATTTTTCTTATAGATCCCTCAGGAATTAGGGTTTAGGAACCCCGATAACAGAGTGCAGCCAATAGACTTGGAAAGTAGTGACTGTTCTGTCTTTCAGAGAGCGGGTGTCTGAACTCTTTTTATTGCAATTTGGATAATAAGACCCTGATAGATCCTTGTATTTAATTGTCATGATTTTGATCGTTAATGACTTTTGATTGCTTCTTCTGGAGACACCTGTCAGCCGCTTCCAAAGCACAGATGGCTTTATCAGCAGCAGTAGGAGTTTCTTTTTCTTACTAACTTTGAGCTGAACAAATTATTTTGGGAAGATGAACATACCAATGTCATCCTAGGTTTTTCTGTCTTTGGAACATTATTTTGTTTATTGAATAATGAATTGAGACTGCTCTTTTTCAAAAGCTTTTGGCTTTTGGATTTTGTTTGATAGTAAAAAGCATTAGTCTCTTGTCTGAGTGGGTGTGTGACGATTATTCAGTGGCCAAGGCCATACAACTAAGGTGAGAGAATACTTCTCTGTTTACTTGGAACAGTTCTGTTTTATGCCCATTGCCTATATATTAAAAAAATCCTCTTATATTCAGAAGTATCCTGGTTTGGATGATAAATTATGTGGTAGTCTTTTCAGTGTTCAAATGGCTGACTGAGAAAGGTTGATCATGAGCTATGAAAGGTTGCTGCATAGGCAAGAAGAGTATTTCCATTTCTTTTTCATGCTCCTTTCTCCAGTAGGCATTCAGGGTCCTCATGGACTTGGGTGCATAGGGTTCACCATGATACATCTCATGGAACATAGCCCATACTCTTTTCCTTAAAGATCTGGTAAAATTTTTGAATGAAAATTGGGCAGTACACAGTTACAGGAAAATCTGACAGAAGAAAACTGACTGATTAGCCACTCAGATATCCTGCAGCTTGCATCAGCCTGGTGAAATTGATTTGGTCCCAGGCCCGGAAATGGAACTTTGTCAGTGCTTCTAGAGTTAATAGATATTCAGAAATAAACTGACTCTCACCAGAATACCCTTTTGATATACCCTTTTCTTGTGAGAAGAATATCTGAAACACTATTTAGAGTACTTTCCTTTCCAATCCAATAACTGAATCCAAGTTTTCTATGCTGACAAGCCCATCCAGTCTTTTTGAAATACTCTTTCTTTAAATATGCTACCGTCACTGATGAAACTTCAGTTAAATAGCTGTACCATGGACCTGTTAAATATTCCTCCTATTCCCATTTTTGGTTGATTAGATCCACTGAAGGCATTTTTATCTCCCTTAATGTCTTTGTTCCTTGATAGGCTAGAATCTCATTGACAGCCTTGATTCTTCATCATGTTTTACAGCTCCCTTTGTAAGGAGATGTAAAGGTCTTGGGGGTAGAACTGTGAATGTGTGATGTTGATTTAATAGGTCAGATTATTCATGGTGGAGAATTCAAGCAATTAGTTAGGATCCTAGGCAAAGTCATTTAGTTGTGTGATGGAAAGAGGGGAAAAGAAAGCGTTTTCCATGCTTCTAATTCAAATGTTTGACTTGTTTTTCTAGTGGGCATCCTAAAGACATATCTTAGTTTTCCTAAATTTCTTGGGATTATAGAAGTTGGTGTCTGATAAATAGAGTGGGGGTAGGGTGAGGTGGTCCTGGGGATTGATACTAGAGCCACTTCACAATTTTCTGTTTTTGTAAATATATTGACAAAAATTAACTGGATCCTTCTTGGTAAGAAGCATCAATGCAGATTGCTACTTCTGACAGCCCAGAAGATGAGTGTACTTCTTAGTTTGCTTTTCTGGGAAAAGTCTCATCAGAACATATACCACAGGAATATAATTTCTTCAGGCCTCTGGCAAGAACAGAGCTAATAATAACATACCAGAAATTTCACTCCAGTTTGGAAACTAAAATGGTCTAAAAGACAGAAAGCATTAAGTTGATTTTCAAAGATACTTTTTTCTTTTTTATAGAATCAGAAGGAGAGAAGAAAAGGGGAAAGAGGGAGGAGAGGAAGAAAGAAATACTTGTATTTGTATTTATACTGTATTCAGAAACTGTTATCATAAAACTATTACCCTCTCCAATGAGCTAAACAATTGACATGCAATCTTGCCTTAGTCACCGAACATCTGAAAATCATTATAAATATTTTAATCAGCAGAAAAGAGACAAAAAACCCACCCAAACATCAAACATGCATCACCACCAAAAATGTTGTAGAAATGCAAAATTTGTTGCCAAGGTGGCTGTATATTCCGAAAACGGCATTTTTATTTCCAACCATGGCATTTTGCAGTGGGGTTGTTTTATAAACTTAGTATACGAACAAATATGCTCTTAATCATGAGTTGTAAAGAACCATTTGCTTTAAGAAAATTTAAAATCTTTTATTTATTAAACTACCTTAGCAGAGGAATATCTGTATTGTGTAGGTTATAGTTGCTCTGAGGACTAATGATATTGGTACTCTTGAATCTCAGAAGTGATTTATTCTTCTAACATATGCTTTACACATAATGGTTTTAAGAAAGTTGTTGGTTTGCTTAGGATAATGGCTTCCAGCTTCATCCATGTCCCTGCAAAGGACATGATCTTGTTTTTTTTTTTTTATGGCTGCATAGTATTCCATCATATATATGTACCAAATTTTCTTTATCCAGTCTATCATTGATGGGCATTTAGGTTGATTCCACATCTTTGCTATTGTGAATAGTGCTGCAGTGAACATATGCATGCATGTGTATTTATAATAGAGTGATTTATATTCTTTTGGACACATATCCAGTAATGGCATTGCTGGGTTGAATGGTCTTTCTCCTTGGCAAACTAAGGAACAGAAAACCAAATACCACATGTTTGCACTTACAAGTGCTTCGAGCTAAATGATAACACATGGACGCATATAGGAGATCAACACACACTGGGGCCTTTTGGAGGGTGGAGGGTGGGAGGAGGAAGAGGATCAGGAAGAATAACTAATGGGTACTAGGCATAATATCTGGGTGATGAAATAATCTGTACAACAACCCCCCATGACACCTATGTAACAAACCTGCACTTGTACCCCTGAACTTAAAATGAAAGTTTAAAAAAGGAACCTGTCAAATTGAATTTTGAAAGAGAAAGTTAGTGGCTGCCTTTGGAACCTGGTAGTTTACCAGTGAACTCTGTGATATGGTTGAAATAATGGATAATTTTCAATGTCTTAGGTGTTTAGAATTTAGAGGGGAGATAGATTTTAACCACCACAAGATCTGAGACAAAGCATTTATCCTCTGTTTTGTGCATCATGCTTCTCCTTCTACAGGATGTTTCAGTTTTTCCAAGCCCTTTGTTCATTTGTAAATTTGACTTGTATTGTGATTGGGAAGTGTCAAAATTAGGGCCACTCACAGAGCTAGATATGGAAGATTTTCTAATGACATACATTGGTCACTAGCCCCTCTTTCTGACCCCCACCATATCTCTTCTCCTCTATGATATACTCAAAATTACCAATAAGTGCAAAAAGGCTCTTTAAAAAGAGAAACGTGGCTCTAGAGGTACATTGGTGGCTTGTGGTAGAGTTAGAATAAGTCAACTTTTCCAGCACTCGGTGCTCACTGGAATCCCATTATTGAAACTAGAGTCCACATCCCGATTGGTCAATATGACACTCTTAGTGAATCATAAATTTCTCCATTCTTGGGGCTTACTACATTAGACAGTCATCTTTCCTAGGAGCCACTGCATTATATTTATGTACTCATGGTAAGTTGTGTTTCAGAGACAGAAAATGGATGAAGAGATTTCAAAGAAGTATGTTTCCTTTGATAATTGCAAAAGACATTAAAAATAGTCTATAAGTCTAATTTATGATGCTGATTTCTTCATTTGGGTAATCATTAA